GGTTTGCTGATAAAGTAATGATAAAAAGTAAAAATAAGCAGAAGAAAAAAATAAACGAATAAATCATATAATATAAGAATTTCATGTCTAATTTTATTTTTTTCTTTTTTCGTTTTTTTTTTTTTTTTGTCGTCACAAATTTTTTTATTTTTTTATTTTAATTTTTTTTTTTCAGGATAAACGTTTGCGTCCAGGTGATCATTTATTGAGGATTCGTGGAATCAATGTATATGGAATGAGTCCACAACAAATAGCCACTATACTTAGGCGACAAGATACATTAGTTGAATTAGTGGTCGGAAGACCGACGATTTCTTCTAATAACTTTAAAGATACTGAAAGTATGGTCTAATTTTTTTTATTGAAAAATTAAAATTTTAAATTTTAATTTTAAAATGTTAACATTAATAGGATAAAACTCATTGCTATATTGTAGAAAGTTCTTTTTTTTCTCATATTTATTTCAAATTAATTCCAATCAATTAATCAATTCTTTTTCTTCTCCTTTTTTTCCTTTTGTTTTTAAATGAATTAATTGCTAATTAATAGGTTATTGCTATTACTTCTTTAATTAATCCATTCATTAAATAGAAATTTTGCATTTTTTTGCATGAAAATGCAAAAAGTAATTTTAAAAAATTTTAATAATTTATTAAGTTATTGCATAGCAAATTAATTACATTTCATTATTCCATCACATAGCGTTACGAATTGAAATAAATTAATTATTAATTAGTTTTTTCACTTTGTCACTTATGGGCGGAATAGTTAAAGAGGCGCTCTTTAACAGATCTATCCTTTTCTATGATACCAACTTTTTACATAATCTTCACTGGATTAAATTTATTGATTTTATAAAATTAACAGTTCGTTTTCCTTCTCATGATGGTATGTGTGTGTGTGCGTGTGTGTGTGCGTGTGTGTGTGTGTGCATGTGTGTGTGTGCGTGTGTGTGTATATGTCCATATGTCCAATGTGTGTGTGTCGGTCTGTTCGGTGTATGTAGGTCTGTAGTGTGTGTGTGTAGGTGTTGGTCTGTACAGTGTATATGTGTATGTCGGTGTCGGTCTGTTTAGTGTGTGTATGTCTATGTGTCTATGTGTTCGTGTCTGTCAACATGCTTACTTCCAAATGAAAAATTTTTCATTTTTGGAGAAAAAAGTGAAAATTTGGAATGAAATATATGTGAAGTGTCAATATATGTATTTATATTTATGAAATAAACAATTTAACTTGGCTATCTTTGGCTCTTCTTCAACAAATATTTGGCTTGGCTATCTTTGGCTGTTCCTTAACAAATGTTTGGCTTAGCCATCTTTGGCTCCTTTTTTAAAGCATTTCACAATATTTTTGTTTAAATTTGATTACAAGAGGAGCCTCATCTGATATATCTAAATGATTTCTCTCTTGTTAACATCATTATACATACACAACACATAAACACATGCACACACAGACATACACACACACGCACGCACACACACACACACATACACACACACACACACACACACACATACACATACACTTCTTAATAAAACTTCTTTCTTGTCAAGCCTCAAATAAGTTTGTTCGTTGTTTTTTCCTTTCTTTTTTTTGATACAGCAATCATTTCCAAAATTTGATCATTAATTATAATTACATATTAGAATTCTAATTCCCACCACCTTGACGAATCATTGAATAAACATTTAACATTGATATCATCGATATCATCTGTATTGATATCATTTCTGATCTCGTCTCTCTTTTCTCATCTCGAAATTTCATCATCACAGATTTTAAATTCAAATTCAATTTAGATTCGATAAAACATCCTCAAATTTACCGAAATTTCACATTTCTGATACCTACCTAAGAATGAAAAAAATTGAAAAACACCAAAAATTATTTAAATGGGAATAATTTTTGATTTGGAAAGTTTCGATGAATCAAAAATATTAATTAATAACAAATTAATTTCTTTCCAATTTAAAAGTCAAAAAATTGTCAGAAAAGCCTATGAAAAAGACGAATTGTATTATAATGAAATAGATAATAAAACAAAAAAGATTACTGTTTGTTTATCTTTAAATTATCATAATAATTATCAGCAAAAATTTTCAAATTAAAATTAATCTTTGAAATTTCAACAGTAGTTTATTCGTATGAGATAGCTGTTAAAGTACTGTATCATTTTAAAGCAATAATACTGATATATTATTGATTGGAATTTGAAAATGCTTTGAAGTGAATGAGCACAATTAGGAATAGTAATAATTACAATAATTAATTTTATCTTCATCATCTTCCTTCTCCTACCCCATATATACTGTTACCACTTTTGCAAAATAATATTGTTGGCATTATCACCATCACTGTTATTATCATCCTCAATATGGTTATCATTATTATCATTATTACCATTATTATTATTATTATTATTTATTACTATTATTATTACTGTTATATTATTATTATTATTATTATTATTATTATTATTATTATTATTATTATTATTATTATTATTATTATTATTATTATTATTATTATTATTATTATTATTATTATTATTATTATTATTATTATTATTATTATT